GACAAATAGCTGAGGGAATGAAACACGCAGTAATCAGCATAAGGTTGATTCTTAATTACCGAAGGGTATAATTTATCTATGATTCACCAGTTCTTTATCATCATTAATCTGTAGTTATTTTTTACTTTGCATGACAATTCATTCCATTAACGATTCAAACAAACCCACTATTTATATCACTTTAAAAGTTTATTTAGATACGTGTCTTGTTGTCAAGATACAAAAATAAGTGCTCTCATAAATATGATTTATTTTCATCTAATGTATTCATTTCTAATTGTGGCAACCGTTTGAAATTAAAATATAGCACTAAACTTCGTGTAATACGCGATGCGTATAATTTTTATGATCGTGATATGCGAATTAATTTTGTTATTGTTTGCAATCTCAAAGACTAACTCCGAGCGTAAGTATAAATCAAAATATTAATTATACTCCAAAAGAGCATGTTAATTTTAATTGTAAAATTGTTTGGCTACTTTAATTGTGAAATTTAATCCGGTTTCATTATGCCAAACCAGAGATGATTGTGCTCCGGAAATAACCGCAATCCGGAACCTAATCGCGATCCGGAAGTTACCGAAAATCCATGGTCCAGAAGATTCAAGAAATCATTGATCACATTTATGTATAAAAATTCTTGTAATATATTTTATTATTACTTGTTTATACTTCATTTAAAAATATTAGAACCAGAATTTATACTTGGCCTCTCTATCATTTGTAAATATTTTTTGGGGAGAAAAATGAATGTGATTAGACATAAAAGTAAATACATAATTATTCATTTAAATTGTTATTTATTTAGAATGTCATGTTTTGAAAATATCAATGATTTAAATTTATGAAGACTTTAATTTTTTGAAAGGGGTCATTAATGATTTTACTCAAATTTTCAGGATTTTTGAGTTGGGCTCACAATCACTTCTGGGCTAAACTAAAAGCAGATTCTGCATTTAAATTTTAATAAAAAAAAAAGTGTTCAAATATTCATATCTTATTTGTATCAAAAGGTATCCGCACATTGTCAACTCAAAATTATTTTCAAGTTTTGAGTATCTGCTCATTTGAATTGTTATTTAACTTCCACTTTATTTCAGGAAAATTCTGTCTTGAAAATGACGCAAGCAGGAAAACTTATATTTAGAATGATTAAGTTGGGTTGCTATTTAAGTTCGAGTCATTTTTAGTTAGGTTCAGTCATATAAGGTTCTAATAAAAATTGAGAAGTGATAAGAAGATTGCAACATTATTAATTTGTTCTTAATGAAAATATAATATTTTGAGAATTACAACATATTGAATGATACCTTGAGTGATGTTTATCAAAAACTGAAAAAGTTTTTTTTTCTTTAATATCCTTTTAATCGCATTTCTTTATAACTTTTTTGGAGAAATTCTGTTTTTTGTCATTATGATTTTACTTTTATTATTTTTTTGGAATTTTTATTTCACACTAATATGAAAGCTTTACCCCTTTCCAACTCTGTGTACCCAATCTGGGATCATTTATTTAAAATATAGTACAAACCGCTAAATATGTGAAACTATTTGCTTCTAACTGATCCATTCTTTTAAAGGGGCAACTATTCTTTAAGCAACAGGAATCCTAAGCATAGTTCTTTGTTTAGAATATGCAGTATGCAGTATAAAAGTGAACAACCTGAATAACTTACTATCCAATAATCGAAATTTCATGTATGAAGATTAAATTTTAATGAATTTATGCTCATTAAATATGGATATGCTAATAATACTTTGACTTGGCTTGAATATGAATATGCTGGTTAAACTAGAATATGCTAATTAATTACAGCAGACGATTTTTTAAGTTACGAAATCGAACAAAAAAAGTACTTCTTTCTGAAGGAACATACCTGTTTTTCGACGGTTTTGGGTTTTTGATTTTCAGAACATGGAGAGCGGTAGCTATCCCGAAAATATTGTTAGTGAAGAAAGCAGTTGAAAGTTTGCATTCCTTAATTTTTCTTCCCAATGCTCACCTGGAGAATGACCTTTCGTCATTCAGGCATCTGATGGGGAGATCTGTTGGCTACTCTTTCAGGAGCACAATATTAGATGGACCAACGTTGCTCCCACAGTAAGGACATTATTTTATTTAATAATGTTTGAAAAAGTATCAAACTCTGTAATCGATGCAAATTTTTATATCATTTTAAGGCATGAGATTTTAAATGACAAAATACGAAATTTGAACGAAATTGGTCGAAAGTTTATTGAGTTATACAATTTTAAAAAGTTGCTTATTTAAATTTTAATTATGACATCCATTTATCTATTATATACATAAATATTAAATCTGTATAAAAATGTGTATAGACATTTCGTCTTTCATTTAGTACTAGAACAGTGAAAAAAAAATAAGTTGAAGTAAAATTCCATATAAATACCCCCTCAGTTTAAACATTAACGAACTACTCACTCTCTTTATAATAGCTTTTTCCACATCATTGCTATAAAAAATCCGATGTTAATGAATTGAGAACTTCAATTATATTCTACTGTGGTGCGAAAAACTTAAGCAACAATTGGTTTTTCGGCCACAACTCCCCAACAAAGTATAAGATAGCCAGGAAATTGCAGTATAATATGCACGTAATTCAGTAGAAAGACTATTTGTATGCAAATTTTAAAAATAAAACGTCGTAGGTGATGTAAGTGTACGTAAACCTTGTGGGTCAGCGCGCGCAGGTCAAAGCTGTGATAAAAGGATGAAGAGCACTGTAGTTAGAGACATTCGCTGCAAGTGCAAGGGATTTGTTTTGTGAAACATGTCTTCAAGAAATCATTTAGACGACTTTACTCGCGGAAGAATGATTGGGAAGCTTGAGGAGGGGCGTAGTGTGACCAGTGTCGCCGAAGAGTTCGGGATCAACAAAAGTATTGTTTCTCGTGCTTGGAATGTCTTTAAAACTACTGGTACAGCTGTTCGGAAGGTTGGTGGTGGCCGTCCAAGGAAAACAACACCAAGAGATGACCGTTACATTGTCCTCCAGGCGAAAAGAAACCGTTTTCAGTCAGCGAGCGCCATATCTCAGCAACTGTGCACAGCCACAGGACGACAAGTATCAAGATTTACAGTGGCCAGACGCCTCCACAAAGGTGGCTTATTTGCTAGACGTCCTGAACGCTGCATACCTTTAAAAGTTAGCCATCGGCGGCACCGTTTAGAGTGGTGCAGAGAACACGAAACCTGGACACCTCATCAATGAAGTCGCGTCCTCTTCACAGATGAGAGTCGTTTTAGTGCTACAAGCTATTCTCAACGTCAGTTGATCTGGAGAGAGGTTGGAGCTCGATTTCCTCCCAATAACATCGCAGAAAGAGATCTTTACGGTGGTCCTGGAGTTGTCGTCTGGGGTGGCATTATGTTGAACGGGCGGACTGAGCTTCAGATCTTCTACCGAGGTTCTGTAAATGGAGACCGCAACTGCAATGAGGTAATCCCCCCCATGTGCGTCTGTTCTGAGGGGCCATTGGACCAGACTTCATTTTTATGGATGGCAATGCCCGGCCACACCGTACTGCTAATGTTCAAGAGCTACTGGAAAGTGAAGTTATCACACGAATGGATTAGCCAGCTTACTCTCCAGATCTAAATCCCATAGAGCATGTGTGGGATGCATTAGGGAGACGTCTTGCGACACGACAGTATCCTCCTGGTAACACCCATCAGCTGAAAGATGCGTTAAAGAAGGAATGGATACGTTTACCCCAAGAACTCCTGGATAATCTGGTGCTTAGCATGCAGAGACGACGCCAAGCAACAATTACAGTAAGGGGAGGTCATATCCCGTACTAGGGAACATCTGCCAGTTGTACTTACGCTTCTTCAGGCAATCATGTGTAACGCCACTATATGTCAAATAAAGCCTTTTTTTGTTTCATACCCTACTTTAAGCTTCATATTCATTTCTGCGCCATTCTTCTTTTACCATCGTATCGTTTAAGTACAAAATAATGAACATCATATTCAAATTTCATGTCAATCGGATGATTTCTTGTAGAGTTATGACAAAAAACGCACTTGTTGCTTAAGTTTTGCACACCAGTGTATTTATTTCCCATCTTATTTAGGCTGTCCGGAAACATATTTTTGGCTGGGAGCCGAAAATGTATGCCTTCATGTATCGAATAGGAAAGTTAGGCTAAATGATATGAAGACGTACTGTACAAATGAAGGAAGAGGAGGAAAACCGTTCTTAAGAAGGCTGAGTGATGATGGCTTTAAAGACATGGCTGAAATATTGTGGAAAGATTTGCAACATGTGGTACCAGCAAATACATACATTGGTAAGTTTGAGTCAAAGCCATATCGAAGTTGAATACTAAGTATAGTAAAATATACAAAAAATGGTTTATTTATTTATTTTTTCTTTCTTCGATGGCATATTGATATATACTGATGAGATTGAAACTTATGGCGATAACACATACTAGAGTTGAACAAAATTATGTAAACATTTCTTTCTAACTCTATGTAAACAATTTTTCTTTTAGCAGCTAATGTTTTGAAAGATTTTACATATCAAAACTTTTGGCACAGTTTGAAAGTTCACATGTTTGAAGCTTTTAGAAATGAAGTCGTTTTTAGTCAAGCAAAATTCAGATTTACCAAAATGAGAAGAAGTTAATAACTTCTTTTTAGCTTTAATACCAGCAGTTTTGCAATTATTCTATTGAATTGCAATGTTTATATTAGTATGCTTCTATAATTACTGTGGTATTGAAAAATGAAAAAAGTTTTTAACCTCCTTCGATCATTTTGGTCCATGCAAACTTCGCATTGGTGAAAAGACCATAATTTCCTAAAAGCTTCAAATATGATCTTTCAAATTGCGCAAACAGTTTCTAAATGTAAAATCTTCAAAAACATTTGCTGCTGAAAGATCGTTTGTATAGAATCAGTACGGAAGTGTTTTTATAATTCAAAATACAAGGACTGTCCAATCCCTGTATTTTGTTTGACTATTCAAACTATGACTAATTTTACACCACGTGAAAACATATGTATCATCATATTTATTCCAGAAAAACTTTGTGAGCAAACAATTAATCTTTCTTCTTTTTCTTCAACACAAATAAATATACGTATACTTTGGAACAATGGCAAACCTTCCTCCGCCCTCCAGAAAAAAATTTTAAAAAAAGTATGGATTGTAAATTTAAGATTAAATTTGCAATAGATAGTTTTTGTTTCAATCACTTTTACTTAAAAAAATATATAATTAAAAAATTTGCAAATCTAATCATTGTAGGGACCTTTCTGACCAAGAGGTATCCGTCAAGCGCTGTGTGAAGCTTGGAGGTAGCGAGTTCGAATCCCGCTGCTACTCTGGATGCCCCTTCGTGCTGTCCTTCTACTTGACAAAGGCTTATAAACCTTAACTGAACACACAAGCTTTCGAATGCATGTTGTACCAATAAACAGTCATTGTGCAGCTAATTTTCTGAAAAGATAAACTACTGGCAAGGGCTGGAAGCTTTCTACATTTTTTGCAAAAATTCATTCTAGTGGTATAGCTTAGTTAATGTTTCACTGTATTTTTTTAATATTCATTTTCGAATCATGGAATATGAACAATAACGAATCATGGTATATGAACAATTAAATCATTTAATAAAATTTTAGTAATATTATTGAAAAAATTTTGTTCTTATTTAGGCAACTATTTTCATAGTTGTCGGCAACTATTTTCACACTTTAGGCTACTAAAAGCAACTATTTTGTTCATTTTTTTCTGTGGCAACCTTGTAAATGAAAATGGCTATTTCAGCAAATCAAACTTCTACTCTGTAGTTGCATTTCAGTGAATAGTACAAAGAATCACGTGATATTTTCTTCCCCAACATAACTCTCGAACTAATAATCATATCTTAATTTATTTTATTCAATTATATTTCTACATTTTTCAACACACCATCTAAATTTCAAGTCTTTAAATCTTTGTGCAGAAAAACAAGATGTAACGTGAAGTGTAAAAAGTGAGATATATTTCAATAACTTGATATTGCAATAACTTGATCATTAATTATTTGGTTAAAATAAGTGATTATTAAATATTGCAATAGCAAACTTGAACTTTAAAAAAAAAAGCTCGTATTAGGTTCATAAGCAAAACTGGTCTTTTCATCACGTCAAATTTCACAAAATCCCGCTGCCTGCAAAAAGGCCGGCATGATACTTTTAACTACAAATTTAATAATTCTCGAAAAAATTATCAAATTATCAAATGTTAAATTTTTTAATTCTAATATACACCTCGTACATATTTCTTCTCACTTTATTTCAATTAGCCTTGAGTTCAAGTTTCTAAGTCTTATAGTTTTGCTCAACAATGTAACATTAAGTTAAGCACCCAAAAAAATCGACGGCAGCTTTTACGATTTTGTAAATATTGAGAGAAACTAATGTTTTTTTTTTTTTTTAAATTTAATTTAGATATTTTTTCCTTGAACCCTTCCTATCCTTGATGATTTACTGTGCATTATTCTATAGGAATAAAGAAAGACAGCGGATTTGGATCTAAAAAATGGATCTTTTCCAATGACGAAGGAAGTGTTGAGCAAGGAGATTATCCCTTATGGGCTTCGGATCCTTCTAATTATGATTGCGGAGTGGCCGAAATAGAAGAATTCAATGTGACACCATATTCATGCGGACAGAATGCAGTAGTTCTTTGTGAAAAAGATAAAGACAAGATGCGTAGGTTTACATCAAAAATTTTTTGTCATGGCTTGTTTTAAAATAAAGGCAGAAACTAAATGTTTTTACCACTAGTACTTTATATTTTCTGAATTTTTTTTAAACTTGATTTCGATGTAAACTAATAATGTCTGAGCGTCCAGGGGTCTCTTAAAACTATAATAATGGTACATAAATTTTTGTCATAAAAAGTGTTTCACTGTTTTAAAAAGTTAGTATGAAACATTCTTGATCACCCCAATAATTCGATAACTGTAACACATATCAAGAGTTGTGTTAGGGATGGGGTGAAAGTTTATTGCATTTAAGTAGTTGCTAAACCAGGTGAATTTCCACTGCTTTGATAATAAGTTGAATACCACTATAACAATTTTTAAGAGACCGCAGAAAGGAAACACTGTCGTTTTAATCCATGAAATACTTCAATGATCTTTCAGTGAGAGGAAAGTACGTATGTCCCCATTGAGTCCTGTTCTCCTAATTTTGCCATCAGTCTATGATATTAGAACAGTACTTTATTCTTCCAAGTCTTCAAATGAGACAGGTTTTTTTGTATGGAAAAATGTCTTTTGTGACTGATTCTATAGACTCTACAGTCTATTATTTTTTAATTTTGCTAAATTGCCATTTAACATGTTCTTATGTAAATTTCTTAAATTACAGTTAATGAAAAGTAATTAAGAATATTGAATTATGTACTCTCCCAAAAAACTAAATACCTCTTTCGTTTCAGCTTGTCGCCATGACAATTACCGCTACATAGACTATCACGGGAAATGCCTATATTTGTATCCTCAACAAGAGAGCTATAACGGTGCTCTGCATGTGTGCTTAGATGGCCATGTCTTTCCTTACAAAGATGTAGACTCGAGAAAGAGCGTGGCGTCGGCAATTTTGTCTTCAACAACAATTGATGGAGGAGTATTTATAGGATTAAAGAAAGAAGATGATGGTTCGTGGAAATACTATGATGGGTACGTACTCAGAGAATAGAGCTTTCGCGTTCCAATTAGGTGAACCCGGTACGAATTCCTCATCCGGCTTGCACCGACCACAGTGCTGACGTAAAATATCCTCAGTGGTAGACGGATCATGAGTCCCTTGACGATGGGCTAACTGTGGTAGATTTTCGTGGTTTACCTCTCCACGTAACGCAAATGCGAGTTAGTTCCATAAAAAAAGTCCTCTAATTTTTCCCAATGCTTAATCCAGGAGTACTCTCATCTTCTGGATTGGATTCAGAATTACTAGTCTATGGAGTTGAACATTAGTAGTCGTTGACCCAAAATTGGGTCGGTTGGTCAACGACGGTTATAAATTATATTGATGCAGGTGCCAATACAGAAATCTTCCCAAACTACCCAACATCTGAAAATAATTCATACAAATAGTGATGTTCCAATGATGTAAACCGAGTTCGAATCCCAACGATGGCTGGTCGATTAGAGTTTCGCTCCCGGCTCGCACCGACTGCAGTGCTAACGTAAAATATCCTATGTGGTAGACGGATCATGGTTAGAATCCCCTTGCCGTCAGTCTAACCGTAGGTGGTTGCGTGATTTTCCTCTCCATGTAAAGCGATTGCGGGTTAGTTCCTTCAAAAAGTCTTCCACGAAGTCAAATTTCTCCCAATACTTGATCCAGGAGTCTTCTGGATTGGGTTCAACATTACAAGGCGAAGGAATTCAACATAGGTAGGCGTAAACTCTACATTGGTACGGCTGTTCAACGATGGTTATAAAATAAAATAAAATGGATGCGTACTTGTGCAGGTTCAGAAGAAAAAAATGTTCCTGATCTTTTAACAGGGAACCTGGAGCCGCATGCGGAGAAAAAAATTTACCAATAGGCCTCTTACTTATCCAGAATAAAACTGGTAGCAAGAACATCACAAGACTACATTTTTTCGGATAAAGTAAATTAACCTCTATCCTTAACTACCACTACTTAATAGCAACTGTAAAATATATACTTGCTCGTAAAAACTTAAAAAAGCAAATATATGTACTGTGTAACTAAAAAATATGGTAGTCACAGACAAATTACTTTGGTCAAAAAAGAAGCAGTAATGAAATCTTACTACCAGTTTCTTTCGATTTGTTACGCTACGTAGCAGTCTGCAGAGAGATACTTAATCAAATTATTGGATTTTCACACATAAAGATGACAACTTTGCGGTTTGAGAGCAACGCCGAAATGAGAATGTTTACCGATGGATAAAATCTCGAAGAATAATTTCTCCCCGTGATTCTGTTAATTACCACTCTTTAAATAAAAAAAAATATTGTCTCTATTCAATAATCTCTGATTCATATAAGAAATTTTATATTTAAAATATGTTTTTCCCCTAAGCCCTCAAAAAAGTTAGAATTAAAAGTTCGCGAATTTTTTCGGGAGTGATCAAGTACATGATGCTATTTAAGAAAACCAGAGAATAAAGTTAGTAACGAAATCAGACCCAAAACATACTTTTTCCAAATAAACATACCATTTTGTTAGACGAATCCGAATTTTTGACATTCAAAATATGGGGTTTCTGCAATCCAGAAGACGTGGCCTTAATAGTGTGGTCAAAAAACTGTTCGCAAGTTAGGACTCTAAATAATATTCTCGCTATTTGTTCAAACTGCCATGCTCCGGAAATTGAGTGGGAAAAAATTGTTTATGAGAAGGACATAAAGTTAGGCTATACAAATGGAATTTGTCTACTCTATTTGTTATGTTACTTATCACTCAAAAATTCTCTGTTAATTCTGGCAAAATGACAAAACTGTGTGACATTTTCATACGTAGTAATAAAAAAACAAATACTGTATTAAGCATCAAATTAAAAAACAAGATTTTTATGGTGGGAAGTAATTTTTTTTAGTTTTTACTTTAATTGCAACTTATAATTATTTTCATTCGTCTCCTTAAGAATAGATGATATTATATGGGTCATTCTCACAAAAACAGTCATTTTCATGTCCCCAGCATATTTTATGTTTGTTTTACAGCTTACGAAAAGAAAAAATTCAGGGTAAGTGTCCTTCAGAATGCAAGCTAACAAAGGAATAAAAATAAAATTTTAAATTTTTATTTTTTATTTATTTTAGGTAATTAAAATATACGAATATGTCATTCCCTNACCGATGGATAAAATCTCGAAAAATAATTTCTCCCCGTGATTCTGTTAATTACCACTTATTAAATAAAAAAGAATATTGTCTCTATTCAATAATCTCTGATTCATATGAGAAATTTTATATTTAAAATATGTTTTTCCCCTAAACCCTCAAAAAAAGTTATAATTAAAAGTTTGCGAATTTTTTCGGGAGTGATCAACACCCTGTACATGATGATATTTAAGAAAACCAGAGAATAAAGTTAGTAACGAAATCAAACCCAAAACATACTTTTTTCCAAACAAACATACCATTTTGTTAGACGAATTTTTGACATTCAAAATATGGGGTTTCCGCAATCCAGAAGACGTGGCCTTAATAGTGTGGTCAAAAAACTGTTCACAAGTTAGGACTCTAAATAATATTCTCGCTATTTGTTCAAACTGCCATGCTCCGGAAATTGAGTGGGAAAAAAATTGTTTATGAGAGGGACATAAAGTTAGGCTATACAAATGGAATTTGTCTACTCTATTTGTTATGTCACTTATCACTCAAAAATTCTCTGTTAATTCTGGCAAAATGACAACACTGTGTGACATTTTCATACGTAGTAATAAAAAAACAAATACTGTATTAAGCATCAAATTAAAAAACAAGATTTTTATGGTGGGAAGTAATTTTTTTTAGTTTTTACTTTAATTGCAACCTATAATTATTTTCATTCGTCTCCTTAAGAATAGAGGATATTATATATGAATGAATACATTTATTGTACATTTTAATAGTCACATTCAATTTTCCTTTTATTTTTACCTAACCAATAATGAGTTTAACCCTTTCGAAGGCCGTGGGAAGTATACTTACTACCACCACTTTTTTACCACTTTTAATTTATGTTTCCATTTGTTAGTAACTTCAGCTTTCTTGAAGTGCGTTTGAATAAAATTGGTAACCATTTGTTAGTTTAGAAAAACGTATAAAAGTTATAAAATATATAATTCCTTTTTGAAGTTAGTAGCATTTATAAAATTTATTTTATAAATAAGGAAAAAATAAAGTCAATAAATTCCTAATAGGTCGTGTTAAATATATTTACCACCAAAAAAATAGCATTTTTATAAAACCAAATGAGTTTTTTTTCTTATGTCAATTACCATTCTTAAAACAATTTTAATTCCAAAAATACTTTAATTTACCTTTACTAGAAATGAATGGCCCATTAAAAGATTAAACGAAATAATGACTCAACGATGCTGATGTGGGCACATAGGTGTGGGGCTACTGTGGGTGGACACTTCAATGTCAAAAAGTCTTTTAGTGGTTGTGTTGTTTTTACTGTTGACTTATCCCTGTTTATGCAGAGGGGGTGCGATTGTTCTTGTTCTCCAGTGGCGCCATCTATGGCCAAGAATTCGACTTCTGCCACACCATACATCGCACCCGTTTATAGGGCGGACCCATTCATACATCCACAGATCGTAATTTTGACCTGAATCATCAGAGAACGAATGATCTTCAATCCAGTGCCCCCAGAGGTATTAGTGGTTAGTGGTATTAGTGGTTGTAAATTTACGTTAATGTTAGCAGGAATGTTCTTTTTTATGATACAACTACACAACTTTAATGTTTAGAGGTCTAGTAAAGCACTGTTGCCTCATGCAGATATAAATTCTTAGCAAAATAACAGATAGTGGTGGACACATAACGGATCTTCGTCTAATTTTCGTTAACACCATTAAAATTTCTATGAATCCTGATACAATATTTACATATTTAACGAGGCTAGAGTTGTAGTTTCCTTTTATATTTAAAGTGCTAGTGTAATAACAACTATTACTTTGAAGTAATTACTCAAAGTAGCCTTATTACTCAAAGTAAGATAACAACTTGAAAAAGTCACCATGGATAGGAGACGTTGGAGGCTACGCGTGGTTGAGGCAGCCAAGGCCTGTAAGGGGCTGTCGTGCTGAAGAAGAAGAAGTGTAAACACAATTAAGATTAGCAAAATGTCTTCAATTTTGCCCTCACTTCAAAACTTCACCGTACTTATTACCAGGTCTTATACATTTGTTTTATCTTTTCGCACTCCAAGTACTTTAAAGCTCTGTTTGAACTAATATATGCACTAAATCATTTAAAATACATAATACAGTACTTTTATGTAATTTCTAAAATTCTTAAAATATAGATGTTTCTAATTATTAAGGTATAAAAAGTTTTAATTTCAGAGTGGCCTCATAGGCGACATCGGAGTGCTAAAGGAGTAATTATTTATAAATCGTTGCCAAATCGTTGTTAATTTTTTTATACTGAAAATGAAATAGCAAAGAGTAACATTTGTCACCCTTTCAAATATTCAAGATAAATCTCTCGATAAAATGAGAAAAACTGGAGTTGATGCGTTTATCAGGCATTAACATTAATTATTTTGATGCTTAGGATTATTTACTCAAGACCGTATTTTTAGATTCAATTTAGTTCCATTTTGATTTAACTTGCTTTTTTAATGAGCAACAATAGATTAAATCCTAAATTTTAACCCTTTCCTTTAGTCATCAGCTAGTGCGACCTTAGGCAGTTCATTCTAAGTGAACCGACATATTTTAACTCTTTCATCGCTACGGACGAGATAACTCGTCTTCCAGGAACACTATTGTTAAATATGGTTATTGATTACAATTAATTATTATTTTTTAAAATAAAATAATCAAGTTTTAAAGGAATTTGCGTTTTGTTTCAATTTTAAGACTGAAAGGGAACTCTAAGTACAAAGGTTAGAAGAAAAGCGCGTCAATGCCACGTTGAAAGTGTTAAGGAATAGTTGTTGCTAAGAGTTTAAATGCAATTTGTTTTACTTTTCTAGTGGCATGTAATATTTGTTGAATTAGTGTTGCCAGACTAAAGGTCTTAGGCATCACCTCCCTACACCGGAAAGCCTCCCCACTGTATTTTATAAGTAGTCTGCGCAGATTATTTAGAAAGCGAGCCAGTTGTGGGCCTGAACCCAAATTCTATTTTAAAAGTACTTGAGAGAAATTTATCATGTATATTTGAGAATTGAATCTGTCGTGGTTGACAAGTAAGTAAGATAAACCAATCATATTCACAAATTAACCCCTTTGGGAAGGGTGATTCAGAAAAGCATTCGTACAAAATCAGGATGTAATTAAATAAAAAACGGTAACTTAAATGAAGTCGTTGCTAATTTTACAGACTTACTTTGCTTTTACTTTAATTATTGTTAGTTTAACCATATATATAATCAATGTTGATTCAAAGTTAATTCAAAGTATAACTAGTTTTATTTTGAGCAAAGTAATGGTGAATTAAATAAATCAAACAATTGTAACTCCGTCCACAAATAAACTGCTAAAGAATTACTTTGATTACCAGTTTTATCTTTTTACCCTGGTTGATACGGTTTTATGCTTGCACGTATTTGTGACAGTCGGCGCGAAAGGGTTAAACAAATTTTTAGACATATCGCTGGTTCAAAACTAAAACGACACTTCTGCACTCACTTCTCATTGAAATAACGTGAGAAGTGAGTGCAGAAGTGTCGGTTTAGTTTTGAACCAGCGATATATTTGCTACCACTTTCTAATTTTTAATAGATTTTCTACTAAATGGCTCTTTGGTAAATAGGTTTACCATCATAGTAGTTCAATCGGACTAAGTTTAAAAACCGGGCGGAGGCATTCAGTTATAGGTGGTTTAGGCGTGCCCACACTAGCTCCAAGACATGGGACTAGTGTAGATAAAAGCAAATTTATTTTTAAAAAAAAGAAGAAAAAGAGTATAAAAAAAGTACAATATATGTTCAAAATAGTGATTAGAAAGCTTTCTTGAAAAATTTATAAAATTGTCCGCAGAAATCCTCTCTTCCCTATCTATTCACAAAACTTTTCCCAAGATAATTTCATACAAAAAGTAGTTTTCAGTTACTATTTTCCACTCTACAATTAAATACGAATAAAAAAAATTGAATTTGCGAAAAATACAAAGCTTTACTTCCTTTTAATCTACGTAGTTTTGAATTATAAACAAAACCAGCATAAAAATAATGTTTTTATTTTTTATTTTAATTGTCTTTAAGAACAAAAAACTAATTTCGCTGAAATTTCATCATTTCACTTTATCCTCTGACAAAGATGTTTTAACGCTTGAAACGCCAGGCTTTAGTGTGAAGAGTGTTAACAGTTACAGCTTCATAAAAAGCATTTCTAGCTCTTTTTATATAAAGTGCTCTCTACACGTATCTACATCGTACATGTACATAAGACTAAAAAGAAAAATTTTATGTTTTATTCTTATGCTAGGATCGAAGAAAAAGAAAGATGGAGTGGAAATGAGAAAGAATGGGACTGCGGAATGATAGCTTTTGAAGAGGATCATTCTTTCGGCTTATTTACATTCAGCTGTAATGATGAAACTCGAATTATGTGTGAGTATAAGGGTAAGTTTCAAACAATCGGTTCTTTATAGCCTACTTGTCTGATACCTATTTCGAAATCTAAAAACGAGATTTTTACAGTTATTAGAAAAGCTAAGAAGTTTTTATATTTTTATTTTATAACCGTCGTTGGACAACTGACCCAATTTTTGCGTTTACGACTACTAATGTTCAACTCCGTAGACTTGTAATTTTGAACCCAATCCAAAAGATAAGGGAACTATTGGGAGGAATTTGCCTACGTAGAGGGCTTTTTAATGGAACTAACCCGCATTAGCGTTACATGGAGAGGAAGACCAATAGAACCTCCCACAGTTAGCCTGACGGGACTCTAACCCATGATCCGTCTACCACTAAGGATTTTCACGTCAGCTCTGTGGTCGGTGCAAGCGGGATGCGGATTCGTATCGACCAGCCATCGCTGGATTCGAACCCGGTTCACCTCATTGGAATGCGAAAGCTCTATCCCCTGCGCCATCGCGGCTCAAGTCACGAAGTTGTGGCAAAATATCGTTTTAATATGCTTCTAGAAAAAAATAAATGCACATATTTTAAAAATGTATAGCTTAGATTAACAAATTTCTCGCCCATGACTTTTTAAAAAATGAAGAATGACTGAAAGTAGAAAATCGAGAGCCCACGTTTATAATTATTATCATTCAAGTATTTAAAAAAATAAATATCAAAAATTAAAAATAATCCCTCGTTTCTAAATATATTATATTTCTTAAATTTGTACGAAAATAGTATTTTGCATTGGTAAATTTTAACTAAATATTTCATATCCATATTATATAAATTATTTTATAAGGCTTATATAAATTATTCTATGTAATACAAAGTACCAATCAGACATTTAATGTTTCTGAAAATTATTGAGGTGAAATGAACAGATAATTAAAGCAATAAAATCTAAGTGGTGAGTCTAAAATGTATAACACAATTCTCAAAAACTTTTCAAACAAAATTAATATTTTCTCCAAGTAGATTACTCCACCATTTCTCTGTATTAAAAAATCGCAAGTAATAATACAACCGCCGTTGTTTTGGCTTGACAACAAATTTTCTTCTGCTGTGCAAAAACTACAAGATTTGAAAACTTGAAATAAGAAGGTGCGTTGAAAAATGTACATACACAGAAAATATGATGAAATTAAAAAAATAACATTCAATAATTAATTCGAGAATTATTTACTATTAAACAAACTTGTAATAAAAAATACCTTGCTATTAAAGAGTTGTAATTCGACGCAATATTAAAGCAATTTTATTTACGGACTCAACATGAATATTTCTTCTAAATTCTAATTTGCTCAAATTTTTTTCAATTTTAAATGCTTTTATTCCCGGGTTTTTTTTCTCTTTTTTTTTGCTCTTTAAATAATGATTATTAATCCATTGCTCTAGAAAATTTTATTTAGATCTCTCGAGGTCTTTGCTTTATATACTTCCGCTTGAGTTAGAGTCGAAAGCAATAAAAAAAAATAGATTTTGAAGTTTTTAAAAATATTTTCTTTTTAAATGGCAGGAGCTGAACTTTTACGGATGCCGCAAGTATTACTCATTTAACGTTACCCAGTGGGCACCTGTAAACCTAAGTCACTTAGGCGAGTAACATTACCCAAACCACACTGCCACAAATACCCGTTTATAGGGTGGGCCACATTCACACAATAGAGAACAACACACAGAGAGAAGCATCCACGCCGTGAGCGGGATTCGAACCCGCAGCCATTAGCTTCGCAGTCAGGCACGCTAAAAGTTGGACATCGGTCGTCATTTTTAAAAATATAAAAAACTTAATTCGCGAGAGGTAAAAATCGTTTCCTATTTGAATTGATATAATGATAAAAGATTATCGTTAGATATAGTTCACAAGTAAAATAACTTTTTAATTCTTCTTATTGTGTCACATACTGTTTTCCGAAGTTTTTTATTCCACTATAATTTTTCTAATCTGAGTAATCATTTGTTTCGTTACTATTAACATAAGAACAAAATTTACCTTAGTAAAATTATATTTACTTTCTTAACAAAAATGGAAAAAAGAAAAAAAAACGATGATATTGAATGAGAAACAGTCATGGGGTCAGTGAGCAAAGCGAGCAGAGAGGCAGAGCATTCTACTTGTTTAAAAGTTATCTTTCACGTAAAAATTATTTTAAAACAGAATTTTCTTTTGTTTCAATCAACCTACTTTTTTTCAATTTTCAAGCAAAATTTCAAACGATTTCTCGAATTTTTGAAACCGAACTAACATTTACACTAAAGTGGATTAGTCCACTATTGGAAGTTTCGTTTTAAAATTTCGTGAAAATTGTTTATGGCATGCCTTTTTAGGTCATAAAAAAGACATTTTTCTCACTTTCAAACGACCTATTTATTTCAGCTAAAATGTTTCTAGAAAAATTTAACGTCGATTCTGAAGATTAACTAACGATTTTAATCTAATAGTCAAGAATATTTTAGTCCCTTTTTCTCCACTTAGAAAAAAAAATAATGCATAACTTGTTTCATCATTATAAAAACCTTTAATTTGGTTAAATTTCAATAGAAATAACATTTAAAAATAGTAAGTAGAAATCTTTTATTAAAACCTATGCACGTTTATGGTATACCTTCATCAGTAAGATAAATGACAGGGATGGTAGAACCAAGGTAATGTAATTCGACAGAGGTGCCGCAATTCTAAAGCAATAAATATACACTTAAAAGTAACAATATTAAATTGACGGTAAGAGTTGGAAATTTAAAAAATTAATGATTTCCAAATATTTAAAAGGTATTATAGAGCGGCAAGATCATTAACAAGAGAGTTAATATATTTGATGGCGTGGAAGCATTCCAATAAATCTAGGTCAAGGCATGAAATACAGTTATCCCTGACATATATCCTACTGATGAAGGTGAACAAAAATGGCACCGAAACTCATAGAGGTTGTAATAAAATTTTTACTATTTGTGCTATTTAAACATTGTTCTTAATGAGGTTTAATTTTATGACAAAGGGATTACTTTCGTAATTTAGAAAATGTTTCTCTGGTATTGACATAATTTGTTAAATTGATTTTTTGAAGATACGCTTGATTGTGAGAGAAGTGATAGTAGTTAGTAAGATGTTTACGGTGTGTATGTGTTTTTTTTTCCTTCCTTTTTTTATGAATGTCTTTTAATTTGAAAGAAATATAGTGAAATAGTGTTGAATATTAATAAAAATATGTGTGATTGATAATGCAAAAGAATGCGAAAGGTATCTATACGTTTTAAGACTACAGTCGTGAAAGTATGATTGCATTCAAAAACATAATCACAAAAAATTCCAATTTGTTTCGTAGTGTGTTTAATAGTAATTCATTATTGTAATATAATGTCAACAATTCTCAACAGATTATATAAGAAATAGATTTTTTCAATTATAGGTAACATATTACTCTCAGATTGAATAAATGTTTTATTGCAATGTGTTTCAATTATGTTTCTAAAAGCTTGTTTTGTAATAATTCAACTATGTAAAATTATATAAACAATTCGTGCATTCAAATAATATGTTATTTGTTATTTATGTACAAATATAAATAATAAAAAAAAACTTTTTTAAAGATATATTGTGTTTTCTACGTTTCTTGTCTAGTGCATTTTCTTCACATGTCCAGTCCAAGAAATAACATATTGAAATCCACTCAATTAAATCATAGCTTTCAACTTTTACAATTTTTGCTAACGACTTTTCACAATTGCAGTAAAAAAAAACGAAGTAAAAGTATTAAGATAATTTAGAAAATCTAAATTTCGATATCAAACATCCACGTTATTATTTTCAGGGCATTATTTTCAATTTAAAAGCGTTATTTAGATAATTAAAAACTATGTAATTTAATCCGTAAAAAAATCTGATACCGCCTGTAGGTACTGCCAACTTTTCCTCATTTGATTTTGATTTCATATTTAAAGTGGTATTAAAATTAAATATTTGGTAGATGACTCGTGATTTGTGAAAGCTTGAGTAAAATTGCTGTCACCACAAATTAATAAAAATATTTTCAACCATAAATAATAGTTGTGAATATCACTCAATGAAGGTTTTAAATACTAACGAAATTTCATAAAATCCTGCTTTCAACTACTCATTTATTCTTATTTTAATTACCACAAAGAAAAAATCTTTCTTGAATAGCTCAAAATAGCTTTAGATAGACTGTCTATCACACAAGTAGGCGAATACTAGACACTGTTTTGATTGCAATCAAGACAGCAACTTAACTGGAAAAAGAAATATTTGCGACTAAAGTTTGTCTACTGTAAAAACTCCCCCTGCCACAAAGTCTGAGGCTATCTGATGTTATGGAAACAAGAATAGTGCATTTCAGAGAGGGTAGCTTCTCTTCACTCTAGGGTTAATAGGGCTAACACAATAGACCGGAGAAAAAGATTACCTTTCTATCGCCGATCCAAGCCAAAACTTGCCCCACACCCCTACTTGAAATAGTTATACCTCGTTACCATAGTCACCGTCACGGGTTCAAACGAATGGCTAGTGGAGTTCTTATTTTAGACAAACTATACCAGGACTTATTTATTGTTATAAGCCAGTGATGGGGAAACTACGGCCCGCGGGCCAACTGTGGCCCTCTGGAAGATTTTATCCGGCCCGCGGATAGAATTTTTATTTGCCGATCAGTGGCAAATATAAACAATATACATCCATTTTCTTGTCGACTATGTTTAAAATTATTTCTGTTTTTCTATTTTCAACAAAGCACTGATGAAGTTTTTGCTTTCTCTATTTTTGTTCTACAAAACATAAATTGATGGAAATAGTTAGCTCAGACAGCTTCAATTGGTAAAATGTTGAAAGCAGAAGTTCTTTATAGAATAGCCGTAGATTGGCTCCAACTAGCGCTTGTCTCTCTCGAGGAGCTGACTTATGGAATCTAATATAGGTAAATTGCACTTCACATTTGGCAGACTGCGCATTTTACGCTCCAAAGAGCGGACAATCTAACAATCATCTGAAGCAGTCGTTTCTAAATATTCCAAAGTTTTACAAATCATTACCAAAAGCTAGTTTCCGAAATTTAATATTTCATGCT